GCTGCTGTGTTTCCAGAACCCCCCTGATCCTGCAGCTCTCTGAATTCTTAATTCCCATCGTGGTTTTACAGGAGAAAGCAGAGAGCGCTTCCCTGAAGCCCGAGGCAAAGAGGTACCTGGAGAGGCTGATCAAGCTGGGCAAAAGGAAYGGGCTCCATCTCCCTGAGGAGACACAGGAGGTGAGAGAGCAGAACCCCGGGGTGGTCTGGGTTGGGAGAGACCTTAAATCCCATCCAGTGCCACCCCTGCTGTGGGTWGGGACATCTTTTGGTGTCCCAGGGTGCTCCAAGCTGGCCTTGGGCACTTCAGGGATCCAGGGGCAACCATGGCTGCTCTGGGAAACCTCAGGGCCTTCCCATTGTCACAGGAAGGAATTTTTTCCTAATATCCCTTCTAAACCTACTTTCTGTCAGTCTGAATCCAATCCCCCTTGTCCTGTCCCAGAGCTGCACAGGGAGAGGAACCCTCACAGAGCTCACAGCAGGGTCTGAGGCTCAGGTTTGGGGTTTGCCCTTAAATCCTGGTAATTTTGGGTAATTTTTCCAGCCCCTCYTTTTTATTTCTATTAAAGGGGTGACATTGACAAAATGAGGTTGATATTAAGAGTTAATGAATTCCTGGGAAGCTGAAATTGGGGAATTAGCACCCCATTAATTAGATCCCCATGTGCCAAGGGCTGGAGTTGGGGAGAGGCCTCCCTTTCTTACCATGCACCAGCAAAAGAGCTCCAAACTGGGTTAAAAACAAAAGAAAAGGTGAAATGAGGAGAGAGGAGGTTGTTACTGCAAAACCTGCAGCTCCTGAGCCGKCAGGGGCCAGCCAGGACCTTGCTGAGGTGGCTGATTTGTACACAACAATGAGTTGTGCACCGCTGGGCTGGCTCAGAGCCGAGTGCAGGCTCAGTGCTGGGCAGCTCAGCGGGTTGGGGACAGCCTGAGTGCCCCCAGGCTCTGAATTCTGTCCGATTTATCCGCCTTCTAAAGAAAATCAAAGCGATCAAGAAAAAGCTGAGTGTGCTGTGCATCGATTTCAACAAGAACCTCAATGAGGACACCACTTTCCTGCCCTTCTCCAGGGAGGAGTTAGGTATGGAATGTTCTCCTGAGTGAATGATCCGGAGTATTCTTGGAGAATCCTGGAGAATCCTCAGCTCCTCTCTGCTCTTTTCCCAGGGGGGCTCCCTGAGGATTTCCTGAACTCCCTGGAGAAGACAGAGGATGGGAAGCTGAAAGTCACCCTGAAGTACCCACACTACTTCCCACTGCTCAAGAAGTGCTACGTGCCCGAGACCAGGAGGAAGGTGGAGGAGATGTTCAACTCCAGGTGCAAAGAGGTCGGTGGGACTGACCCAGAAGATCTCTCCCATGATTTTTTTCTCTCCACGCTGCTTCCCTTCTCCTCATTTCACTCCTTGCCTTGCAGGAGAACTGCCTGATCCTGAAGGAGCTGGTGGATCTGAGGGCTCAGAAAGCCGATCTGCTGGGCTTCAGCACCCACGCCGACTTYGTGCTGGAGATGAACATGGCCAAGAGCAGCCAGACGGTGGCCACCTTCCTGGGTACGTCCTGGGGCRCAGCAGGGACATCCTGAGCAGGGTGTGCTGCTCTGATCCCACATCCCAAACCCTGCCTGGCTTCCCCCAGATGAGCTGGCCCAAAAGCTGAAACCCCTGGGGGAGAAGGAGCGAGCYGTGATCCTGGACCTGAAGAAGAAAGAGTGCGAGAAGCGCGGGCTGGAGTTCGACAACCGCATCAACGCCTGGGACATGCGCTACTACATGAACCAGGTGGAGGAGACCAAGTACAGCGTGGACCAGAACCTGCTCAAGGAGTATTTCCCCATGCAGGTGGTCACCACRGGGCTCCTGGCCATCTACCAGGAGCTGCTGGGCCTCACCTTCCACCTGGAGGAGAAGGCTCAGGTGTGGCAYGAGGAYGTGCAGCTCTACACGGTGAAGGACRCGTCCTCCGGGGAAACCATCGGGAAGTTCTACCTGGATYTGTACCCTCGGTGAGGGGAAATCGGAGAGCGGGGTTTGGGGAGGGCGAGCAGAGCCTGAGGGAGGGGAAAATCCTTCTCCCACACGTGTGGAGGGCACGGATGTCACCGAGGGGGTCACTGGGTGTTCACTGAGGGGGTCACTGGGTGGTCACTGAGGGGTCACTGGGGTGGTCAGCGGGGTGTCACTGGGGTGGTCACTGGGAAGTCACTGGGGTGGTCAGCGGTGTGTCACTGGGGTGGTCTCTGGGGGGTCACCAGGCTAGTCACTGGGAGGTCACTGGGGGGTCACCGGGGTGGTCACTGGGTGGTCACTGGGTGGTCACTGGGGTGGTCACTGGGGTGGTCAATGGGGGATCACTGGGATGGTCAATGGGTGGTCACTGGGTGTTCCCTAGGTGGTCACTGGGGTGGTCACTGGGGGGTCACCGGAGTGTCACTGGGGGGTCACTGGGGTGGTCAAGGGGGGGTCACCAGGATGGTCACCGGGTGGTCACTGGGGTTGTCACTGGGGTGGTCACTGGGTGGTCACTGAGTGGTCACTAGGTGGTCACTGGGGTGGTCACTGGGGGGTTATTGGGTGGTCACTGGGAAGTCACTGGGGTGGTCACTGGGGGATCACCGGGGTGATCACTGGTGGTCACTGGGTGGTCACTGGGGTGTCACGGGCACTCCTGCTCCAAGGATCACAATGGGGGAGGCTGTGGCCGTGTCCAGCCATGGGAAGGATCCCTGAGAGCCTCCTCTCCCTCTCTCAGGGAAGGCAAATACGGCCACGCCGCCTGCTTCGGCCTCCAGCCCGGCTGCCTCTTGCCCGACTCCAGCCGCCAAATCTCGGTGGCCGCCATGGTGGCCAATTTCACCAAGCCCACGCCGGACGCCCCTTCCCTGCTGCAGCACGACGAGGTGGAGACCTATTTCCACGAATTTGGGCACGTCATGCACCAGCTGTGCTCTCAGGTGAGGCCTCCCTGGGCTGGCAGAGCTCAGTGCTCTCTCCCCATTCCTCTGTCCCACGTGATTCCAAGCCAGCCCTGTCCCCCAGGCCGAGTTTGCCATGTTCAGCGGGACACACGTGGAGCGGGATTTYGTGGAGGCGCCGTCCCAGATGTTGGAGAATTGGGTGTGGGAGAAGGAGCCGCTGCTGCGCATGTCCAGACACTACAAAACGGGGAGCCCCATCCCCGACGAGCTGCTGGAGAAGCTCATTAAATCGCGGCAGGCAAACACAGGTGGGTTTGGGGACACAAAGGGGACACTCGGTGACCTGGAAAGGCTTTTCCTTGCTCTCCGTGATGCTGGGACAGCATTCTAATCTCATTTTGCTTCTTCCTCCTCTTCCTCCTCCATYTTTTGGGACCAGGGCTCTTCAAYCTTCGCCAAATCGTCCTGGCCAAGGTRGACCAGGCTCTGCACACCCAGACCAAGGCTGACCCCGTGGAGGTGTTTGCCCGGCTCTGCGAAGAGGTGCTGGGTGTCCCTGCCACCCCAGGTACTCRTGGGTGCCACCCTCCTGTCCCTGCCCTGCCCACGTGGCTCAGCAGGGACAGTTTCTGCTGGCTCCGGGGAAAAACGGGGCTGGAAAAGCCTGGAAAGTTCTTCCCTGGGTTGTGAACAGCTGAGCCAAAGTTTGCTGGGGCTCAGTGCCATCAAAAGGGGTTTTGCCATGCTGAGAGTCCTCTTTGACCCCTCAGGTACCAACATGCCRGCCACCTTTGGCCACCTGGCCGGGGGCTACGATGCCCAGTACTATGGCTACCTCTGGAGCGAGGTGTACTCCATGGACATGTTCCACACCCGCTTCAAGCAGGAGGGAATCATGAACTGCAAGGTAGGGACAGGGTTTTGTGTGGGGCTGGGACGTGGCACCGAGGGCATCGTGCCACCCCTGCCCCACCCTGTCTGTGCCCACAGGTGGGCATGGATTACAGGAAGTGCATCCTGCATCCCGGCGGCTCCGTGGACGCCTCGGACATGCTGAGGAGGTTCCTGGGYCGGGAGCCCAAGCAGGACGCCTTCCTGGCCAGCAAGGGACTCAAGGTGGACGGCGACTCGGTGCCCTCGGCCTGAGGCGCTGCCCGCCCGCTCTRTCGGGGGAAGCTCCTGCCCACGCACTGCCCTCGCCCGGTTCCTGTCACCAAACACCCCCTGGGCCACCCCAGCCTGCAGCTGTCCCCTCCAGGGTCCCGTTCCCAGCCCCTCCTGGGCTTTGGGAGC